TGCTACATTTCTCTCATTTATAGAAGTTCTTCTGGGTACTCTACATGAAAATAAGGCTTAGCCTCCTCTTCCTTCAGATATTCAAAGTCAGTGATCATATTTTCACAGGTTTAATCTTCCCTGGGCGAAACAAAAGTCCTAGTGGAATTGTCTGAATTGCTAAGTAAGAATGGGAAGATTTTCCGCTGGAAGGACAGAAGACAAGAGGATCCTGGAGTAGGGTGGCTCTTTGAAAGAAAAGAAAGGGCATGCTTAGGAAGGACCCTGCTAATTAAGGTAGCAAGAGATTATGCCTCTTTAGAAGAACTGCTCCCTGGGAAATACCCTTAAGTCTACTGACACCACACCCGGGCAAAATCAGTTGCTGAAAGAAAGCCTCAGGTGGGAGGCTGAGGGCACTGGAAAAACCAGAGAGGCTGACAGAGATGCACTTGCCTTGGGACACAGACCTGCCAACAAGTGCTGCTTCATGCAGCCCAAACAAACAGGTGATTACTGATGCCAAAGTCAAGAAAACCCTCTGGATTCCCTTGAAAACAAAACAATCCACCAACAAAAATATCTCCAAACCTGGGTGATTTTCATCTAGCAGTTGAAGGTCTCCAGTGGGCTACTGGGGAAATCTGTCTAAGGGAGTCTTAAAAATTCAGCAATGCTGAGTTTTAAGAACAGCCTGAAACGTATACCCATAAGAGCTGGGTGTTCTGAGGGGGGAGACCCTGAGACACTTCCACCTCATTTGTGGACCTGAATGAGATTACTAAAAATTTCCACATTTGGGGTTTCTATTGGGGTTTCCCCGAGAAAACCGCAGAACTGCCAACAGCTGCTGAGTATCTGCAAAGGGAGCTGAAGCGCTTCAGCTAAGCATTCATCCATGCTAAAGAAGTCAGAACAGGCAAGGACAGAAACCAGGAGACAAGTCATGAAACCTGGGAAAGGCCAAGATAGGTTTCTCCCCTACACCTCATTCAATGTTTCCATCATGTTTCCATCAGCCTAAGGGATTTCCCTGGGCAGCTCCTTCAGAGGGCCCACCTGGGTCATCACCCCTTAACTGCCCACAAACCCAATGGAAAGCACCATAAACATTTCTCTCCTTTCAGGGAAGGTCAAAATACCACCCAGCACCTACTCTAGGTGCTGATTTTGTTTCTCCAGGAGTAACTGCAGGAAACCAAGTTCAGTTCCCTGAGGGAGATGGTCATCATTAAAAGGGATGCTCCCACCCTACAATTAAGGGACAGGAAGAGCTTTTGTTCTAGATCCTTTACTAGAGGCCAGCTCTGGCAGCCAGCTGCCATTACTCCATTTTACAGGCAGGAAAGGTGATGGACAAGGTAGACAAGCAGGCTCAGCATCTCACCAGGTGACTCCAGTCATGTGATAGTGTGGTGTGCATCTGGAATTCCAGTCCTTGACGCATTATCCCATAATTAGGATACCTGGGGTAGGTCACTTTTGGCCCACATGCACATCACTGACATGGCCCAAGAAGGCTTTCATAAAGAAACAATGAACAATAAGCCCATTCTGCACGGGCAAAACCCCAATATCCACTGGACACTTGCAATGTCTGAGCTGTGCTAATGCCAGAATGTGAGGCTACACATATGCTGCTGGGAACGTGCTACTGTTCATCCTGTAGCTACCTGAACAATGCCAGGAACACAGCCCAGAGTGAGCACCTTTACAGGCATGTTTTGCTTGGCCCCGAAAGCATCTCTGGATCTCTGGGTCTATTGGTCTGGGTTGTTTTAGCTCTCCTTGGACAATCTGATGCAGAAGGATAATTTAGTTTCTGGAATCAGGAAGGCCTCAGTTCAAATTCTCACTCAGACACCTAACTAGTGAAGGGACTTGGAGTCACCAACTCATTGCTGACCCTCCAGTGGGTTTTCAAAAGCACTTAACTGCTTGAGAAGAGATTGCTCATCTTTCTCCTGTGGAGCAGCTGGGAGATTTGAACCACATGCCTTTGGGATCATTGTACCATTTCTTACCACTGTAAGACACATATAAAGTCATTTGCTGCGTGTTATGGATTGAACTGTGCTCCCCAAAGGTATGTGATGTAAATCCTAGCCTTTATGCCTTGGTTATAATTCCATTTGGGAATGCGCTGCCTCTGTTATGCTAATGAGGCAGGATTTGGATAGCATGTGTTTTTAGTCATTTTCTTTTGAGACAAAGTTAAAGAAGAGATGAAATAAGGTAGATGCAAAGACACATGGGGAGCTCTCTCCAAGAACTAGGAAATAGAAGCTGAAGGAAAAAGGACTTTTCTCCAGAGCCAATAGGGACAAATCTTCTCCTAGAACCAGCAGGCTGACTTTGGCCTCCTAAATTGTGAAAAAATAAAGTTAGAGCCATCCAACTTTTAGTATTTCTGATACAACAGCATATAATGAAAAGATAATGAAAAACTACTGTGTGAAATATATGAAATTACATGCTATGCTCATGAAAGAAGTATGTCTAGCTTATGGCCAGCATCTAAAATACTGCATGCCACATATTAGATGCTCCATAAACACCTGTTGCATAAATAAAGGAACCAACACAATGTCTAACACCCAAGAGATGTTTGATGAAAGTTATTTTTCCTTCCTCTTTCTTGAAGGGATGCTAAAAGCACCCTACAGGGTGGAATGGCCCACAGAGGAACTCCCCCACTTAAGAATTCCCCAATCTCAGCCTCCAGAAAAGTTATGAGATGCTACCTTGGTGGCCAGTCGCTGTCAGGTCAGAACAGAATGGACCCTGAGAAGGAAGTGGGTACATATCTTCCATTCAGACTCAAAGAATCCCTGAGTCAAATGTTCTTTACTCCCCCAGCCTCAGGGGGAAACAATATGCCCCAAGATGGTTGTGACCTAACTGGCTCTTCTGCACACACATTCTCTGTTCACCAGGAGGAAGTGACATATGGCATGCTGTCCAACAGGCTCTGGTCATTTTTGAACAAAGAGATGGAAAATGGAATTTCAATCTAGTAGAGACCTGATGAATTTTTGGTGCTGTTGGGCCTAACACTTCTTTCCATGTGCAAAACCAGGCGGCTGGCAATTCCCTGGCCTGGGTAGTCCTTGCAAGGAGCTGGCTGGCAGTCCAGGAACCTCTCCCAGAGTGCCTTTTGTTTACAGCTGGCAACAACCCACTTGGAATTAGGACCACTGACCATAGTCCGACAAAGTGGGCAAAGAGCCCAAGTCCTTTCTTGGAGATGTCTCAGAAGGTGTGCCTGAAGTTCTGGAATCCTGTCCCTCCTTTTTATCAGCTGAACATTATAGCTGCCCCTAACATTCAAAGCAGAGGGGAGAGGGAGAGGTCATCGCCCAAACCTACAGGAACTATTTAATCATTTATCCCTCCAGGGAGTTCATTTACAGGAGGATTTTCAAGTCTGGTCAGCCTCAGCTCAAGAGAGCTTCCAAGCTGTATCCCTTCCCCCCTCCCCAATCATGACTTCTACTGGCATGATCTCTTTGCCTTTTATAAAAGCTGGAGAAGGGGAAGAGTTGAAGTTGCAATGAAATGGGAAATGAGAGAGAGGAGGTGGAGATCCGAGGCAAAAACAGGAGATCTTACTCAGTGGGAGAATCCAGTGCTGGCCACGCCCTAGGCCCAGCCTATGGACAACTGCATTCTTGGCATTCCTGAGTCTACCGTGCATGGCTCCTTCCCCATCAACTCCTTCAATAGATGACTTATTTTCCACAGCCTGCTCAATATTCTGGGAGTTCTGAGGGGACAACAGGGCTACTGAGGCCTGCCTCTCCTCTAGACAGGAGGGAAACAAGCAAGAAAACAGGCCCACCTTGACTGTGTAAGAGCAAAAATTGCCCAGAATGGCCACTGCAAAGCAGCTGACTTAGGGAGGGAGCATTTTCTTGCCCCTTCCCAGGAAAGGACTCCAGTGTGACTCTCAGGCCTAGGGTACATCTAGGACCAAGACTAATAGTCAACTTTCTGGTGTCAAGTCACTGTGCTCACATTCTAAGATTTACATACAATACCTTCAAGTAATGAGAGCTAGTCATGGTTTTGGTTGGGGTTTTTTGTTCGGTTTTTTTTTTTTAAAAAAAAGCAGGATAAACAGAATCTCAAGAAGGTAAACTGGCCTGTTCAAGGTCTTACAATGACAGGGCTGGGGCTCACACCTGTGTCGGCTTGTTTCCAGAGTCTGTCACCAAATCTCACTCAATATTCCACAGAATCCCAGAGACTAGGGTCTTGCTTTGCCAGCAAATGCTTAGTGTAGGGGCCCCAGAACCCTGGCCGGAAAGCCACAGGCAGAGCAGCTGAAGCTCCCCAACCGACCCCAGGCAGTGAGGTGCAAAGTCCCCAGGCTTAATGTGTGACACGACACAGCAAGAGCTCCACAAACAAGCACAAAGTTGCACACTTATGGGTGGAGTGCAAACCCAGACGGTCTTTAAATCAGACAAGCCTCAGCCATCCAAAGCAGTGGTGGGAAATTCTGACTGGCGATACCCTGACCTGAGAGGACAGCAGCATGTACACAAACTCCAAAATAAAGGGGGCTTGTTTTGACAGAGGATTGACACCTCCAGAGGTGAAAAGATGAAGGGTCCGGTGGGCCAATGGTCACTATCCTCTGCAGGCCTTATATTCAATGCCCTTGTGGGTGGTGGCCACTAGGTCAGGGTGAGGGACCACTGGACTAACTTTGTGCCAGGCTTTGACCTGAATGGACACACCATGTTTTCCTTGTCTAAGAAACCAGAGCACAAGTATGAAAGAGCAGGGTCATGAAGGTGACCAGAACGAGAGATGCCAGGTCCTGCAAGAACTGAGTCATCTGTATTTCCTAACAGTTAACTCTTAGTGTTGAAATGAGACCAGGCCACAGCTCCAAATCACCAAGTCTCCAACCATTACCCAGCACAAGAGGAAGAGACATAAGGGAAAAAGGCTGTTGCAGATCTCTGACCAGAGGCTGAGGAAATGGGACACCCAAGGGGCGTGGTCCTTACCCAGCCGCCGTTCTCCTGGATCCAAGGCTCTAGGTGGTCATTCAGGTAAGTAGCCATCCAAGTCGCGATCCGACTCACCAATACCTGCATCTCCTTGTCTACGCTTTCCACGCACAGTGCCCCACCGAAGGAGAAAAAGGCCACAATGCGACCCCAGTTCACCCCATCCCGGAAGAGTTCGTTCACTACCTGCTCAAAGCTCTGATACGCTGTCCCTGGGGTGATGTGGAGCTGGGATGTCAGGTCACTGAATGCCCGCCGGTACCGCAGTTCAAACTCATCACCGGCCTCCCTCAGCGCTTGCTTCACCGCTGCCATGGGGATCACCTCCCGGGCATCCAAACTGCTGCTGTGGCCGGTGGCTCCGTTCACCGCAGGGCTGTCTGTCAGGTGCCAGGATGAGTTGCCATTGATGGCACTGGGGGTCTCCGTGTCTGACTCTGTCCCTTCTGGGGCCCCAGTCCTGTTCTCCTCCGCATCACTGAACTGACTCCAACTGTATCCTTTCTGGGAAAGCTTGTAGGAAAGAAAGTCAACAACCAGCTCCCAGTTGTTCTGAGACATTTTTTTTATAATAAGGATGGGCTCCACCAGTCCATTGTCCAAAACACCTGCTCGCTCACTGAGTCTGGGCTCTGCTTAGAGGTTCACTTCTGACATCCAAGGCCAAGATATGGTTCTGAAGGGCAAGAAAGAGCTTCAGGAAGAAAGACAGACAATTAGTATGTATGCCAGCCACTCCGCACCATCCCAGTCCCCTCCAGGTACCGGAGCCCCTGTGGCTCTTATAAAGGTCTCGATCTAGCCTCCAAGACTTCCACAAAGTCAAATTGAAAGCCCCAGCCGGCTTTGAATCATCACACTTGCCTCTTTTTTTCTGCACACACCACCCCCCCCCCGACCCACGACCCCCATCTTCAGGAATCGCATTGCTCCCCCCGACTTTGCCCCCCCCCCCCCCCCGGCACTCTAATCTCCCTCCCCCCTTTTTTTTTCTCAGAAAAGCCTTCCTCGGAAAGTCACCCTCGCGGGCAGGTCCCCCCCTCTACGCCACCTACATTCCAATCCGTCTCAGGCGAGCAGCAAGGCAGGTGCAGCCCCCGGAAGGTCTTTTGTATCCCAGGGCTCGCGCGGAGGTGGCAGCCGGGATGCCGGTTAAGTCAGCCGGCCTCGCGGAGGCTGGCAGGAAGCACAGCTCCGGCCGGAGGGCTCATGCGACCCGGCGAGCTGGGAGGCCCGCAGGCGACACCGGAACCGCGGCGCTCAGGACCCGGCCCCCTGGCCGGCTTCCTCCTCCATCGCCCGGATCGAGGGCGGCCGCACGGCAGCCGCGGCCTCCCACCGCCGGGAGCCCAGCCCCCTCGCTCGGCTCGCACGCCCCTTGGCTCGCCGCCGCCTGCTGGGAGCGGGGAGGACTCTCCCGCCGGCGCTGCCCTGGGCTCCAGCCTCTAGTGCGGCTTAGTCTTTCTTTCTTTCTTTTTCTTTTTTTTTTCTTTTTTATTTTTATTTGCCTTTTTTAAGAACCGGCTCCGGGTGAGGCTTTTCTGGAAACCCCGCAGGGACTTTATCAAATGGGGCTCAAGGCTCCGAGGAAGGGAGGGGGCAGGCGGAAACAGCCTCGCCACTGCGATCGGGCTTCGGAAAAACCATCCTCGGCTCCTTCCGGGAGGCTGTCGGCCGGGGACCCCCCACACACGCCGCTGGTTTTCTTTGAATTTCCCAAAGGCCCTGGACGTGGCGGTGGCACAGGGGGACTGCCCGGTCCTCCATCCCCCCGCCCGGACACAATGGCCGCCGGCGCCCCGCACAAAGACGGGGTGAGGGTGCAGCGCCCGGCCTCCTTTCGAGTCAGGAAGTGGGGTCGAGGGCCATTCGAGCCCCCTGTCACCCCAGCCCCCGAGCTGAGACCACGTTTTCCCGGGGGACAGGCCTACGGCGACTTCCCGGCGCCCCCGGGAGGACTCGGGAGCGGGGACTACACCTCTAAAGACAGGAGTAGGGGGGCTGCGGCCTCGCGGCTTCTCCCGCACGCTAGGCCGGGTACCCGCCGAGCCACCGCCCCGTTGCTAGGCAACCCCTTTTCCTCAGGGGCTCCCCCTAGACCTTTCTGGGGGGAGGGGTCTCGCCCCCGGCGGCCCGCCCTAGCATACCCAATCAGCGAGCCCAATAGGCACGCAAACGGGACGGCGAAGGCTCCCATTGGGCGCGACGCCTGTCACGCACAGGGGAGGCGGTGCTCTCACCTGCGAGCGCCGCGAGCCGTGGGGGGCCACATCCCCCTTCCTGGGCCCCGTAGTATCCAGATACGGGAGCTCTTCACGGCGGACTTCCACGTCGCGGACGAAGACCGGCCTACCTGGCTGACTGCTCTGGCCTTCCTTTCCGAACAAGCCGGCCTCAGTTTCCCTGAAGAGACCGGGGCAACTTGCAAGCTCAGTCACTTCCGGTGCTGCGGCAGCGCGCGCGAGCCCGAGACGCAAAGGGAGTGCGCGCCTTAAGTAACTGGCGTCAAGACCTGGGAGAGGGCGCCCCCTTGCGCAACATGTGGGGAATTCGGAGACGTAAAGAATCAACATTTACATTCATTCCATTCATTCATTCATTCTCTTTGATGAACCCGTTCATTTATATGTTGAGGAATCATCACGTTGTAACTGAGAATAGAAGCCCTAGTTGCTCAGTATTAAAGCGCTTAGGAGTTAACGGAAAGATCGGCAGTTCAATTCACCAGCTTCTAAGTATCCTGGAAGAAAATGTAGTCAGCGTCCATAATGATTTACAGCTTTGGAAGCTCTGAGAGTAGTTCTTTTTGAATCGAAAGTAATTCGCCAGCAACGGTGTGGTTTGAGAACCTTATCTCAGGACCCAGCTCTGCCATTTGGAAAAGTTAACTCGGGTTTTTTTTTCAGCTGTAAAACGAGTAATACCAACCTCACTCACACATAGGGTTATTGTGAAGATCACAAGAACTATTTGTTAAGTCCAGAGAATAGTGTATATGCATATCGTTAGTATAAGCCGTATAAATTTATGCGACAAATATTTATTGTTTGAGTTGCTGAAGATAGGAACAAGACAGACATGGTTCCTGATTTCATGGAGACTTACACCATACAGATGGATATAGGCAGTAAGCGTATTTTAAAAATACATAATTTTCGAAATAATGAAGAAAATCAAGGCATTGGGATAAAGAGGGTACAGATTAAAAAAGTTCAAGGGAACAGTATTTATTCACTAATTATGATGTAGCCTTTAAAGGGATGATGTTAAACTTCAGTCTTGAAGGATAAGAAAGTACCCATAGGAAGAGCCTGGAAAACACCAATTTAGGCAGAAGAATAGCATGAACAAATGTTCTGAGGCATGAAGATGTTGGCTATTGTTAGATGTGAAAGAGAAGCAATGTGGCTGGAGAGTAAGGGAATGATGTGAAGGGAGATTAATCATTGAAATAACCTGGAATGGATTCTAAGCATGGAATGGTGTTTTATGTTGATTTTATAGATTAAAAACAGATAATAAATAGGATATAAAAATACAAAAAGCACATGAATGAAAATTAAGTCTTAATTCACATCTGCCTTCCAGTCTCATTTCCCTCACAGAGGTCACCATCCTTTCCCATACAACCTTTCAGAGAGCGTTGCTACGTTCATTTAAGTATGAATGTTTCACAAAAACAGTAGTATGCTGTCAAAATACACACTTTATTGTTGTTATGTGCTTTTAAATCTACAACTCTGATAATGATATATACCTTGTTAATTAAAAAAAAACCAACCAAACCAGACCTCTACATTTTTGTTTCAAGTCTTTAAATGAATGCACAAGTTTATAATGATAACTATATGCCATAATTTACTGGCTCAATCTCCTATTTGTAAACATTTCAATAGATTACAATCCTGTCCTGTTACAAATGCTGTAACTTGTCTATTCATTGTTCTGCATACGTGGGAGTTTATCTGGTAGATAAACTCTGCATATGTGGGGGTTTATCTGGAAGATAAATTTCTGCAGGTGAATTACCAGGTGTGTAACCAGAACTTTGAAAATTGGCTTGTATCCATTGCCTTAACCCCACAAGGGGCATGCTCTCCAGGTACCTCAACTGCAGACACTTGGTCTTGCAAATCATCAACAGCTGTGAGGTCAATATAAGGGAGGGTGCTTTCTACACTGGCGAGATTGTGGCAAGGTGTGATCAGAGGAACCCTGGAGATGGAACCAAAGATTTTGGTTCTGGACGGCTGAATGAAGAACTGACTTGTGACTACTATGAGATAAAGCTTGCTAGATGACAGAAGAAACCAGAGGTTTATTTGTGCTGTTGAACTGAACCTAGACTTTCATTTATTTCATTTGTAGACTTTGTTTCATTTTGCTGAACTAATGGAGGAATTCTGTCTTGCTGTTAATCTGACTTGGGACTGCAGTTTACTACACTTGGACTTTGAATATGTGATCTCTTGTCTCCCCTACACCCCTAATCTATATTCCCTAATATGCTGCCCAACTGTGAGTAAAGCCTGTGAGTAAATATGCAATGAACATTGGACATAGAGATTCATAGAAATAGGTACAGGAACATGGGGGATGGCATGTCTGACCAGGTAGCTACTTGTTTGGTACTATGGATGTTATTGATGGGGACAGTTGTTCCTTATGAAGTGGGTAGAAGTCAGACTCAGCTTCCCTCACATTATATCTGCTCCTTTTATACCAGGTAAATGAGTGTATGTGTTTTTGCTGTGGTGTGTGGGTTGTTTTTGTTTTTGTGTGTGTGTTTGGGTTTTTTTTTTAGTGAAAGTTCTTTTAATTTTTTAATTTTTATTTTAATGAATGTTTACAGAGACTTTGGATTTCTATTCATTAATTGTTGCACACTTTCCTCCCTGCCCACCCCTCCCCCCATTTGCTTTTCTCTTTGAAAAGTAAAACAAAACACATTTTTATACAATCCCCCCGCAATCCACTCCATTATGCAGCTTTCATTCTGGACTCGTCATGACAATAATACATAATCATATATTCCTCCTAAACAGTTCTCTCCCTCGTCTGTTTTAGTGCAGTGTATTTTAATTATCTGCTCTTTGTTTCCCCCCAACTCCAACGTCAGTCTCACTTTATAATAGTGACACTATGCAGCATTTGTCCTTTTGTGACTGAGATATTTCACTCAATATAATGTCCTCCAGGGTCCCCCATTTTGTATAATATTTCATGAGTTCTTGTTTTTCAATGCAGCATAATATTCCATTGTGTGACTATACCAGAGCTTCTCTATCCATTCGTTTGATGATAGGCACTTGGGTTGTTTCCAAATCTTTGCTATTGTGAACAAAGCAGCAATAAACATGAGTGAGCATATATCTGCTTGGGTGGCTGTTCTGGTTTCTTTAGGGTATATTCCCAGTAGGGGAATTGCTGGGTCAAATGGTATTTCTATTTCAAACTTTTTGAGAAAGCATATATTGCCTTCTATAATGGTTGCACCAACTGTGGTTTGTTTTTTTTAAAGCGTTGTTTATTGTTATGTGCAGTTGAGTCACTTGTGGCTCATAGCGACCCTATGTACACAGTTCTAAACCCTGCTCTATCTTGAGCCAACTTAATTGTCTCTGACATCTACCTTCATTCCCCAGTCACTGAGTCAGTCATTCAATCAATCAATCAATCATCAGCAAGTGTTGTTCCT